AATCACTATTCCTCGGATAAGCTAGATATCATAAACATTCTCAGTAAAAGAAAGTGGATTTAGCTACACCAGATGGCTTTCCTTCTCACCACTGACTCAATTCTGAAACAATTATATTTCAGTATAGTAATTATGAGCCAAACTATACAAACATACTCTAAACAAACTTTGAATGGATAAAAACTCCAATATGGAAAAAGGTAGTAAATGTTGAAGGAAAAGCTTGAAGAGGGAATAGGAATGAAAAGACAAAAATTAACATGTCCTCTTCTAGGTCCTGATGATAGTAAATGTTTACTATGAAAGTGTCTAGAGCCTGGCTGGGTAGCTCAGTGGATTGAGTATTATCCCAATCACCAAAAAGGTTGTGGGTTAGATTCCTGGTCAGGGCACATACCTAGGTTGTGGGTTTGACCTCCAGGCAGGGCACATACAGAAGACAAAAGTGGGGACCACGCCAGGCCGATGGGAGCACAGAATGGCCAAAGGCTGCTCTGGGCATGAGCCTAAACAGGATGTTCAAGGACTCTGAGCCTGGGAATCCTAATCAGGCCAAGATACCAGGAGCGGGTATAAGGACACATGGTACACTGTGCCCTTCAGTAGCCGATATGATTGGTGTAACTACTGGCAAGAAGCCTTCTTTATCTAAATACTACAAAAGTAGGCTTCCTACCACTCCAGTCAGCTAAGGCGGGAGTGAGAAGAAGTCTGCTGGAGTATGGAGAGAGAGCAGCCAGGATGAGGCGTGTGAAGAAGTCTGCTAGAGAGAGCCTCTGGGCAGGAGACAGGAGAAGGTGCTGAGTCGGAGAGCTGAGATACCGCTATGATGTGAGGCGGTGAGTCTGGGAGGCAGCATGTGGCTGCTCAGATAAGAGCTGTGGGTACAGAGACTGATGCTGCTTTATGGGAAAGATTTATGTTCACTAGCTGGTGTCCGGCTACATGCCTGTATGGACCTTGCTGTGAGAACTGTTCTTGTCTGATGGCCATATGGCCATGGGCTTCAGCAATAAAGACTCATTCTTATTTACCCACAACCTCTCATGGCTTCTCTGACAGACCCGGCGTCCTGGGAGGTCCAGCTCCAGGCAGAGGGGCTCGGACCCAACACCTGTTACTAGTGAGCAGAGTATAAAGGAGGAACTTGGACTAAGTACCCAACAGTTAGCACAGTGGGCAGGGTTTGAAGAAGAACCAGCCCTGGCGTAGTCAAATGGAAGAATTTAGAAGAATACATGGACTCAAAGCCACTCAGAGCACCAGGGCTCCTGCTGCGTGCTCTGACAACAACCAATCAATGTTTCTCTCTCTCTCTCCCCCTCCCCCTTCCTCCTAAAATTAATGAAAAAATATCCTCAGGTGAGAGTTTTTTTTAAAAAGTGCTCAAATACTAAAACACTTTTAAACCAGTCAATATTTTAGGCCTACATGCCTACATTTTGAGGTTCCAAAACAGATATGTGATTGGAAGAAGAAGCTAGATTAGGTTCCAACCACCGACCAGGATACACATTTTAAAAACTCTTTTGAAAGTCAAGAATTTTATATAATCATATGTAAAAAGTTAAAGAACTACCAATTATCAGAAATAAATGCCAAAAGTGACCTCGAGACCAAAAGAAGGAATTTTAGCTCTCGAGACCTAAAAAAAGCTAGAAACCTACTTTACAGCTACCATAAGTAACGCTGTTTCCAGTCACAATCAGAAGCTATTGAGACATAACAGCGAACTGTTCTGGGCACTGTAAAGAAAAAAAGGGAAGTAGATATGATTCCCATCCTAGAACTTTCCATTTAAATGAGTTAAACAATGAGTAGGCTGCACAATTTTAGTTTAAAAACCTGTGTCTTTCTAATAGAAAACAGATTTAAAAAATGTATCAGCTGTAAAATATACAGTATTTGACCAAAATGAAAATTTAGCATTAACTTTCTCATCTTACATCTTTAATTTTTATGTATCTGAGTTTTTTTAATTGCTGGTTTAATTTTCTGTGGAAATATAAAATAAATGGACCCAAATGCCACCCTATTAAGGACTTTTTAATCACTCTTTGTAATTATGAGTTTTATGACTTTTCAAAAGCAATTTTCCCCCAATTGCCATTCCCTGCTTCTTTGGCTCTTATGTTACATAAATTAGGCTGTAAATTTCAGTTAGCTCTTGTTTTTGTTTGGCTGAAATGTTGAAGGGCAAGGGAGAGTAGGGTTACTTATAAATCTTGTATTTCTCTGAAAACACAACTTGCATTTTCCTTAATCTTATTTATTTGACTCCAAATATGAGAAATAACTTTCAAGAAGCACAAGAGACATTTTACTTAAATCTACTCTCCTTTGTTCAAGGTAAGGAGTAATAAGGGCAGCTTTCCAATTTATTTATTTTTAAAATATATTTGTATTGATTTCAGAGAGGAAGGGAGAGGCAGAGAGATGGAAACATCAATGGTAAGAGAGAATCATTGTTCAGCTGCCTCCTGCACGCCCCACACTGGGGATCGAGCCCACAATGCAGGCATGTGCCCTGACTAGGAATTGAACCGTGACCTCAGGGTTCATAGGTCAATGCTCAACCACTGAGCCACAACAGCCAGGCTAATAGCCTAATCTTAACAGTCATTATAATTTTTCCTCCTTACTATGTAAGGTCAATTCTATTCACTTGCATAGGATATACTCATATAAGGAAAAATCTCAAATTAATAAATTCTGTTGACTTACCAGATTGGACACTCTAAGATTTTCTGCATAGCATTAAGGACATTTTGTACTTCTTCAACTCGATCCGCACATAAATCCATCTCTCCCTGTTACAATGAACTTTAACACATAAACAAATGTGGTTATTTGTCTATATGCATATCTATCTATATACTAGGGGCCCCGTGCACGAATTCATGCATGGATGGGGTCCCTCAGCCTGGCTTGCGCCCTTTCGCCATCCAGGACAACTCCGGGGATGTCAGAGAGCGGTTTCCGCCTGATCCCCGCAGGCCAGGCGAGGGCCCCCACCGGTGCACCACCCGGGCCTCTGGTTTTTAAATAAGAGAAATTTAAGATGGGAGTGCTTTAGAATTATGCCAACCATAAAACTAATAACAAAAGCTTTATTTTTTAACATTCTAAGTTTTTCATTGTAATTCAGGTCACTTTAAATTCTTTATTTTTTCACATATAGCCTCCAACCATTTTCTTCCACGTCCCTTTGGTCTCTTCCTTTCTCCAAGCAAGGGAAAGGAAAGCCAGTGGGGTGACTGGATGAGTGGCGGTAGCCTGACATTTCTCCAATCATCCTGGCTGCTTTCTTTTTCTTGCATAAAACCATAACCAACACAAACAAAACCAACATCAACCAAGGCTCCCCACCCCTGTCCTTCCCCAGTGTCTTCCACTGGCTTGCACCCATCTCAGGAGCCTCGGGCACCCCCAATGCCGGCAACCTCTGTGATTAGTAATGCCCCTCCACTTTCCTCTAGTCTCTTCTCGGAAACGTATCTGGATACAGTTCGTAAGGGCTCTCCCTCCCACAAAATCCTGTCTCCTCCTCTTCCCAGGCACATTTCTGCCCCTATTCTTTCTTCATCAGGGTCCCCTTCTCACTCATACCAACTCCTCTTTCACATTATAGTGCGCCCTCAAAACACATTCCAGCTCCTATCATCTGGATTCCCCTTCGGACACACCCCTTCCTTATTCTCGGTGCCTCCCCCGCCCGCGACCCACAAAGTGCACCCCTCCCCACGACTATGCCATATGCAACTTCTTAGGCGTCCCGGGTTCCACGCTCCCGCTAGCCCCTGCCAGGTAACACCCACCTTGCTGTCCTTCAGAGGTTCCCTCCCCCACTCTCTGCACGCCTGCTCCTAGCCGGTCCGCCCCCCAAAGTTCCCTCACCTCTACTCAGATCAAAGCGTCTCGGCTTTCCCGGCCCACGAACCCAGTAGTCTGAAAAGCACCCCGCGACCGTCCTGGGTAGAGAGAGCTCAGGCAGCTTAAGGCGCGCAGTCGCCGATTCAATTTATCCGTAATTCCCGCGCTTTTCCGTTGCCACGGAAACCGGTCGCTGCGGCTGAGCGGGAGCCTCTCAGAATACGAGATCGCAACACGTTTGCGGAAGGGCGGGGCTGAAAGACCCGAGTCTTTAGGGGCTTCCAATTGGCCAGCCATTCGTTCCCTGTTACGTAATTAGGAAGGGACGGAAGAGAAGGCATTCTCCCGGAGTTTTCCATGAGGCGCCCGCCCTCTCACCTCTACGCTTCCAGAGACGGCTTATTATTACGTCACAGAGATTGCCGTGCTGGGGTCCGACTCGCTGAGGCCCGAATTGAGCGCAAGATAGTGCCCACCCATTCGCAAGGAGAGGTCTCGCTACCTCCCCCTTTCCGCCGCAATGGAAGTCTCCAGTTTAGGTAAATAAAAGGATTGTAGGCAAAAAAAAACAACTACGATTTCCAGCATGCATTGCGGACCACGAGACCTTCGCCACAGTGTTCCTTGGAAGCTGTAGTCCTATGGAGAGGAGCTTCCGACACTGGAAGGGGCACGGTTCTCAGGGCGGCCCAGTTCATAAAGAGCTTCGCACACTTCTCACGTCAACAGATATGGATTGGAATGTTACGTTTGCGCATCTTAAGAGAGGAGAATAAGCTGAAGAACCTACAAGTCCTAGGAAGACTACAATTCCCATCCAGCCCCTCGCCTCTCGAGTAAGTAGTCCTCTAGGTCAGTGACCTAAGGGAACGCAGTGGGCGCAGAGTTTACCTGGGAAGGGGACTGCGGTTCCAGCCCACGGCTGCGCACTCGAGGTTCCGCCCCTCATCCCCAGTGTTTATTATTGTTGTGCGGTTCGGGCAGCTCTGGTCCAGCCTCCGCAAATGCGCCCTCGACCAATCCATAGGGTGGTAGTTTTGAGGGACAAGCAGTAAGAGCCAATCATCTTGTCGGAAACTCAAACTGGGGACTAGCCTCTGTCTCTCTCCGCCATGTTAGATTCACCCCGCAGGGGTAGCAGCAGAGCTGGCGGCGAACGGTCCCTGCGCTGGCCTCTGGCAGGCGCCCCCCGGGGGCGGGAAGCTGGTAAGGAAGCCGCTGCGATGACCTGGGGGTGGGGTCACGGCGCTCCGAGAGGGGCTTGGGGAAGTTCAAGGGAGGCGTCCTGTCAAGAAGAGGGGCGACTTTTTCCCGTGTCTGGGGGCAGCTGTTCTTGTCAGTGACGGGATGGGAGAGCCGTTCGTGTTCCGAGGGGCCGAGGGGGCGGATGCCGCCGGTGGATGGAGGGGCCGTGGCTGAGAACGGCCGGCTTCTGCTGCGGGAGGGCCGAGACTCACCGGCACAAAGAGGGCCTAGTAGGTAAAGAAAACGAGAGAGGGCGGGGGGCGGGGGTGACACTGTTTGGGGGACACGGAATGCTAGGAAAGGATAACGGGAAGACTAAAATGAAGTCTGCAAGGAAAAAAACAAAACAACACAGGCCGCCTCAACCCCATCCCCTTCTTTTTAAGGACCTCATAAGTCTCCTTGGGCAGGGGACTCTGGTATTAGAAAGGTACCGTTGTTGTTTTTCTTTATTTTGTCCAACACCCAGCTTCCCAGGTCCAGACACTCAGCTTTCCAGGTCACACATTTTAGCGTCCGGGATATCTGTACAAGCCTCTGGTGGAGACAGTAATCAGAGCTCATGTTCCCAGGCCTGTCTCATTAAAGAGATTGTTGGTATCCTGGGGGGGAGGGGGGCGGGGGGGGGGACTCGAATAGAGGAAAGGCTGACTTGTGCCAAGCTAAGGTGAGTCAGTGGCATGAAGTTAGAATGATGCCAGTTAATGAAAGTTGAAGGCCTAGGCCCCAGCTCCCTGTCGTGACTGGCTTAAACTGCAAGGACCGATGGGCCTAACCATAGCTTTGCTGTTCTCCACCAGTTCAAGATGAATGCTCTCGCTAAAAGAATTTTTACGTATAAGCCAAACGGAAATAGGCAGTTCTTTACCAAGACCTGGATGTGATCCAGCTAAGCTAGCCTCCCCCACTTCCTGTTTTCTCATCAGCCGCCTGGCTGGAGGAGCTCCAAAGTATCTAAACTAATTTCCAATTGTGTAATTTGAGAAAGGGGGGAGGGGGGGGGAGATGGGTGTCCTCTGGAAGTGTGTTTCTCCGAAGTTGAAAAGTCAGACTGTTTCAGAGGCCCCCACTTTTGGCAGACTGAATCAATCACTTTATTTCATAATTTATTTTTTTTTTGCACAAGATTCTGGGGTGTTGACAGGAATTCTTCTCAAGTTTTAAGGACCCCCCCCCAAATTGCATTCCATATGACTAGATGTCAGCAGGGTTGCTAGAAACTGGTATTATTTGGGTGATGAACTTGACTCTAGGTGGAGACAGAGAATTTTTTTAAATGGGGGATAATTGTTTTTGGATTTTAAAAAAAATCCTTAATCCTCAAACCTTCAAGGTCTTTTTAAATGACCTTGTATTGTTTGACAGGGCAGTACATTGTACTGTGGGAAACAGGACTATTTTAGATTCTAAAGATGGGTGTATCATAATTTTACATTTGAGTAACATTTTCAAAGAACTTGCACACACATTTTTATTTGGTTCTTATGATAACCAAATTGTGAGGTTGTCAAAGCATGAGATATTAGACCTATTTTACAGATTAAGGAATTGAAGCTCAGTGGTTAAATAGCTTGTTCACAGTTACATGGCTAGTAATGTGTCTGGAATCCATTCTTTTCAACCCCTGTGCTCCCTTAGCCTTATGCTGTAAACTTCTGGCGCTTAATCTTGTTCATCTCCTATCTTCTGTGCCTGGATCAGAATCTGGCTCTTTGTAGATACTTATTAAAAATCAAAGAATATGTTCAAAAGCTAGCATTTTTCATTACAGTTTATATTTAGATTTAAACAAACTATTTTTTATAAAGTCATAAAAACAAATCAACCTAACAACTCATCAGTAAACAAAATCCTTAAGTAAAAACAGGCCTTAGCAGGGTAGCTCTTTTGGTTAGAGCATTGACCCCAAGGTTTTGGCTTCAAATCCAGGTCAGGGCACATACAAGAATCAGCCAATGAATGCATATGCATAAATAAATGAAAAAACAAATCTCTCTTCCCCCTCTCTTTCCCCTTTCCATGCTCTCTCTAAAATCAATCTATATAAAAGTTTTTTTAATCCTCAATCAGAATAGACATTCCTTTAAGGAATTGTTAACTTAGGCATGATAATAGTATTATGGTTGTTTTTTAAATTCTTATCTTTTAGAGGTACATAATTATTTCATAGATGAAATGATGGCCCTAGCTGGTTTGGCTCAGTGGATAGAGCATCAGCCTGCGGTCTGAAAGGTCCTGGGTTCAATTCAGGTCATTGTCACATGCCCGGGTTGCAGGCTCGATCTCCAGTAGGGGGCTTGCAGGAGGCAGCCAATCAATGATTCTCTTTCATCATTAATGTTTTTGTCTCTCTGCCTCTCCCTTCCTCTTTGAAATCAATTAAAAAAGAATTTTTTTAAAGAAATGATGGCTGTCAGTGTCGGAATAATCCGATAGGAAAAGGGTAGTGCTGTAAAAAGATGATCCTGAGTTGATGTTAAATATGGAA